GAATCTTCTATACGGCTGCTCTGCCATCCTTAGTAAGAGACTTCTACCTCTTGGTCCAAGATGGTTGCTCCAGCTCGATTCATCACATCTGCATTCCAGTCAGGAGGTGAAGAGTTGGTGTGCCTGGCATGGCCCAGCATGACTGACTTGAAGAAGCAGAGAGAGCTCGACGAGGGTGCCTACTGACTCTTCTTCTTTGTGTGTTAAACCTGCTGCTCCTGCTCTGGATGCTCCCCTGACACAACCCTGAACGATTTCCTGTTTCTCTCTTCCTCCCTCAAGTTCTCCCTTCCTTTTTAAACTTGAAAGATTTGAGTAAAACCTACTCCGTAATCTCCTTGCTACTTCAAGTGAGGCACACAGACCAGCAACATCGGTATCAAATGGCAGTTTGTTAGAAAAGCAGAATCCTAGACCTAGCTCCAGACCTACCAAATTGGAATCTGCATTTTAGCAGTATTTTCAATGCTTTGTCTGCACATTTAAATCTGAGAAACCCTGGTTCACAGCCCATTATCCTAGCTAATCTGTGTCAGGCCCTTCTCTGATTATTTATTTATTCATTCCTCCTTTTTTAAACTCTCCCTCCTATCCCCTGCCCACCAAAGAAATTCTAATGTGTTTAATAATTGTTCATGAATATGCATGTGTCTTTGAAATCTAACAGTGTTAGTTCAAGCGTGCATGTATTTCAATTTACGTATCGCATTGTACTATCAATCTTATTCTTACCTTTTTCGTCAGCATTATGTATATAAGATATAATTAAGTTGCTGTGTGTAAATCTAGTTCATTGTTCTATTACATAGAATTTCATATGCTTCCATCACATTTTACTTAGCTATGTCCCCATGATGGGCAGGTTGGTGACCTCACACTTGCCCTTGCCCTGAATAACACTGCACATTCCCTTACAGTCTGTGCAAATATTTCTCCGGGCTATATGTGTTTGGGAATGGAATTCCTGAGTCACGAGGTAAATACATAATTAATTTCACAAAATCTTTCCAGATTATTCTCCAAATTGTCCCTGTTTTCACTCCCAACAGCAGTGCCACATCTTCTTTCTACATTTGCCTTTCTGATGGATGTAAAATGGTATAATCACATTGTTTTAATTTGCATTTATCTGATTACCAGTGAGTTTGAACATTTCTTCATCTATTTGCTAGCCATTCATCTATTCAACCAAAAATTATGGTGAGTGCCTATTATATGCTGGGCATTGTTCTAGGCACTGGGGAAAGACTATGTCTTGTCCATATCTATATTGGATTTCATGTCTTTATGTCTTTTTCTTGTGAATTTGTAAGAGTTCATTGTATATCTACCTATTAGTCTCTTGCCAGTTGTAGACAATGCAAAGGTCTTCTCCCAGTCTGGGTCTATCTGCTAATTTTGTCTACGGCATTCTTCACTGACCAGATAACCTTATTTTGATGACATCGATTTTTTTTTTTCTGGTCTGCTGGTTTATGCAATATCACAGTGATGTTTCCCGGATTTTGTTTAATTAGTTTATAGTTTTACCATTTACATTTATGACTTTATTCCATCTGGAGTTCATTGTTTTATAAAGTAGTAATCTAGCTTTATTTTTCTCCACATACTGAACTAGTTTTCCCAACACAGATTTTCCTCTTCAAAAAGTTTCATCATTTAGCATAGGGGATCTTAGCCTTGAATCTATTCTGGAACTAAGATGAGTCAGACGTTTGCAAACAGTTGCAGTTAGGAAATGTCTCTGTGAAATCTGAAGCTGGGCAGCTACCCATGTGACAGCTTTGCAGAAAGGTTTTATTTGTGGCTAATGTTACCTGGAGTAGCAGGAGCCAGAGGTCTGACAGCAGTGGACAGAGGTGAGGGCTTGTAGTCATAGGCCTAGTGAGGGTAATGAGCAGCCAGGGGCAATATGTAGTTGTGCCCGCCTCCCCAAATTTCAAGATGAATAACAGCAACCTGTCAGCAGAAACCCCTTACTTCCTCTTGTCCGGCTGCCTCAGTCAGGCACCTTTCACATTTGTGGTGCCTTGAATATCATTCCGCACCTCCTCTGGTGCCCCCTTGGGCTTGAACCCCAGGGGCAAGTGTCTCCCTCTGCCCCCCATACCTATGCTTCTGCAGTTGTAGTGAGAGGAATTATAAACCAAGAGCAAGTCTAAATTCACCTAAGTGTTGAAATACTACCCGCAAGGTTCTGGTGTCACACATCAAAATTTGCACATTCACTGCTAAAATGTATGCCTTGAAATTTGGATATGGCTTAACAGCCATTAGAATTCAGCATAGCTAGAGGTTCAGAGCATGGGTCTTGGGTCAGAATACTTGGTTCAAATCCCAGTTTTGTCACATATTATCTACATGAGCTTGGGCAAGTTACTTAACCTCTCTCAGGGTCTTACACGAGATAATCCTTATAAAGCACTTAGCCTAGTGCTAGATAATATATTAGGTATCCAATAAACAAAGACAGTTAAATTAAAAAAAAATGTCTATTAGATGACAGGGTTGGCATTACCGGGAATACAAAGAATGAATAAGCTCTGACCCTCAAGGAATTTATGATCTCATGTGGGGATAAAGTAAACTACAAAAACAGCAAACTTCATCTTTTGCCGAAAGAATGTTGGGCAAATAGGATATGTATTCAGAGTTCAAAGAAAAGAATAATCATTTCAGTGTAAGGGATTAGAGGGTGGGGAGTGGGACTTGGGGCTGGGGAAAAGTTGAATGGAAAGGAGTGGCTTTTTGGAAATGTTTTGATCAGTGGGTGAAGGGTCCAGTTTGGCTGAAGTGCGGATAAATGGTGAGAGAAAGGCCCGGAGAGGTGTTTGAGCTGTGTTACAGGAGATCTTGGAGGCTAAGATGGGGTTGAATTTCATCTGGTAGCAGAGGAAATGCAATGCTCAGGACTGTATTTTAAGAGGATTAAATTAGTAATGGTTGTCGAGTGGATGGGAGCCCAGAGGGCGTAGAGGTACAGAGATAACAGGAAGCAATTATAGTTTTCTGCACAGAGGTAGGTGGGGTCTGAATGAGGTGAGGGTACTGGGAATGATAAGTAAGGGAGCAATACAAGAGGCCTATGACTAAAGAATCAATATGACTGGATGAGGGAGAGGTCTCTCTATTGGCGACCTCTTCACTTGGTGGCTGTTTCCTACCTCCTTTGCTTTCCTTGGAGTCCCTGTGTGGTGAAAACCATTAACACTCTTGAAGGCTAATTGAGGGACTTGGAAGAAAGGCCTGGTGATCTACTTCCAAAATCAACCATTGAAAACCCGGTGAAGCACAGTTCTACTCTGACACACATAGGGTCGCCATAAGTCAGAGTTGACTGGAGGGCAAATGGTTTGGTTTTTGGTATTAGTCACCCAGGAGGAGATGCCAAATAGGTAGTTGTCTCACCTCCCTTATGATTGTAGGGGTTGTGAACAGCACCAAGGTGCACACAGGAACTGAATCTAGCCAGTGCTCGAGTAACTCAGCTGGTTGAGCCTTACGGTCAGTGGCTGTCCTCTGCTCTGAGCAGTGGGCCAGTTTTACTGATTTGTTCTACCAGAGGGAGCCATTTTGGTAATTATTCCAAGGCAAATTTGCCAGTTTGCCCTCAGCAGTTGGATAGGGGAGTGTGGAGTTGGAAGGAAAAGCCAGGATTGTAGATACAAACTGCGGATCATCAGTAGATGGGTAAAACCATGGGTTAGCAGAGAGATGAACTTAGAAAGCAATGTGTGTAATTCTTAGCTTACAGGTTTTTATAAGGATCAAATTAAATACATCAAGTGCTGGGTGCCTTGTTGTTAGTTGAGGATGAGTTAATTCCGACTCATGACGACCCCATGTGTGCAGATTAGAACTGCTTCATAGGTTTTCAAGGCTGTGACCTTTTGAAAGCAGATCGCAAGGTCTGTCTTCCGCAGCACTTCTGGGTGGGTTCAACCAGCTAACAGGCCACCACTTAACCATATGCGCCACCCAGGGAAGCACCTGATAGTAGGTGCTTAACAAAAGGTTGCTATTTTTATTAATAAACTTATCTGTAAGAGCCTGTCTCAGGGCAACATCCAAGCAGGAGGGCATGCATTTTGCAGCAACCACACACGCCCAAAAAGAGGTCGAGGAAGGAACAATGACTGGATGTAGTTAAGATGATTTGCATTTATAGATGAAAACCGATTCTGATTCAAGCGACCCTATAGGACAGAGTAGAACTGCCCAAAGGGTTTTCAAGGAGCAGCTGGTGGATTCGAATGGTCGACCTTTTGGTTAGCAGCCAAGCTCTTAACCACTATGCCACCAGGACTCCGATTTTATAGATGGATGCGTCTTTATTCCAGCCCTTTCGTTTTACAGACAGGGAGGCGTGGGCTTTGGGAGGCTAAGCGCAGCTAACTGACCTCCTGAGCTGGTCTTTTACACAGTTTCCAGGTTTCCGGTACTGCCTCCGCGGTCCTCCCTGCCTACCCCACCCCATCGGGCCTCGCTACCTCACCAACCCAGCCCCAGCCTCGCGCGTCTGCGACACAGATCGGCCTCTCCCAAGTCCAAGTTCCTGGTAAGCCATTGGCCTCCAGCTGGCTACGCTGCCACAGAGTGTCAGTAGGGAGGGGGCAAGGGCTTCGCGGGCAGCTGGCGCGAGGTGGAAGAGCCGTGGGACAGGATCGGGTGTGCGCGCCGCGACTCTGGGCATTGGGCGCTTTAAGCGCGTGGGACGCACGTGGAACGGGGTACTGGCGTCCCGGGGCACCGGAGACAGGCGGAACCCCGACTGGAAAATGTTGGAAAAGGAGGACGCTCTAGTCGGGACTAGAACCGGATCCCGGGGCCGCAGCCCTGGGCGGGGCTGCGAAAGTTGAGTTTTATTAGTTGCGGAGGGTTGGACTCTGCGCTGAAGCGCCCGCTGACTGGCACCGTAAAAGGCTGGAGCGGAAAGGGTAGGTGTGGCTCTGTTTGCGTGACCTGAGCCCTCGTCCCAGTCGCTGTCGTCTCCTGCAGTTGCAGCCTCTCAATCATGGGCGCCGTCTGGTCCGCCCTGCTGGTCGGAGGCGGTCTGGCCGGGGCGCTTTTCCTTTGGTTGCTGCGGGACGGCCCTGGGGACAAGGGGAATGAGGGGGTCGCGGAGCTGAAAGACGCCCCTCCTGGGGAGACTGCGGCTCCCGGAGGAGATCGGGGTGGCGGCGGGAGACTGAGTCCTGGACCTTCCGGGCGGGAGCCGGTCACCACACCAGGTATTCTTTCTTCCCGTGTCTTGAGGCCGCTCTGCCAGAGGGTTCTTAAGTTCACCGAGGAAGAGGGGAAGGAAAAAAAAAAAAGCCCACCTCTAGCTTTCCAAGCGGCCCGGTCCTGGTGGACGAACATCCCCTTCGGGAGGCTAGACCCTCCCCATTCTCCACACACCTCCCCCACCGCCATTTGCCCGGAGCAGGCTTCTTGCCCTCCAGGGAGCCCGTAGAGATGCCCTGGCCGAGCCTTCCGAGGGCCGCGCCCTGCTGAGCTTCTGTCCCGGACGCCAGCGTCTGAGGACCTGCCGTTGAGCTCTAGCGGGGATGGGCTCCTCCGCCTGGCGGCGCTTGGTGCAGTGCGGGTGGCTGCAGCGGCGGCACACCTTCCTGGGCCTTCTGAAAGGAGGGCTTGAGGGATTCTACAACCCTCTTCAACCTCTGGCTGAACGGGGACATTTTCTCCGTCCCAGTCCCCTAGCTTTATGTCCCCCATCACTCACCCCATAGGAAGAGCTGGGTTTGGCAGTATCCAAGCTCTGAGCGTCTCTTGCTCTCTGGGCGCTTCTGTCAGGAAGGCAAAGTTCAGGTTGGACTCTGGCCATGAAGGCCGCGGCTGAAGCCCTGGGACTGTGTGCTGGCCACCCATTCCAGAACTATCGGCTGTCCCCAATAGCCCCCTCCCAAACCTGCTGTCCTTCCCCACCCGCCACACCGTGCATCGCAGGGCAGCCTAATCCCTGGGGAAGGGAAGCGCCCCCGTCTGTTTTGGTACTTAATGGAGCCCCAACTCCAATGAGTAGAATTGACAACTAGGTTTAAGCCTCTAAATTTTAGACTAGGCAAAGTAAGGGCACTGGCAAAAAACCTTACCTTCCGGTGCCCTCCCTTGGCAAGCTACCCATGCTGGATTCCAGCCTAATGGTGAAAATGACATCTGTGAACTTTATTTTTAGTGGGGAGTGTTCACGTGTGCCTTTGGTGTCATTAGTTTGAGATGAGCACATGCACACACGCACACACACACACACACACACACACACACACACAAACCCATTGCCCTGGAGTCTGACTCATAGCGACCCTACAGGACAGAGTAGAACTGCCCCATAGGGTTTCCAAGGAGAAGCTGGTGGATTCCAACTGTCGACCTTTTGGTTAAGCCGAACTCTTAACCACTGAGCCGCCAGGGCTCTCCTGTAGAACTCATTTAACTTCTTTTTCTGAAGGTCAGACTCATGATTTAGGCCGGAAGGTTGGGTATTCAGAGTAATATTTGTTCACATCTCACTTCCAACCCTACCATTAAAACAAACAAAAAAAAAAAAAGATTGCCCCCCAAAACCAAAACACTCCATCTGTGCTTATTGTATGGTTTTGGAGATTTTGAACTTTCAGGGAGCTATTTGGACTATCAAAGAGGTGACCAAGAAGGAAACTGAGTCTTTAGGGACCTTAGATTGTATATTTTAGGGAACATTTAAAAAAAAAAGTGTGTACAATTGGAAGGGATGCAAAAAGTCTTATGTTCTATTAAAGAGGTTCCTGATGCATATGGGATTGCCAAGGAGAAGAAAGCCTTCTCCCTCCACCCCCAACTCCCACATTTGGCCTGTGATGCACTGCTGTCCTTCGTGTCCCCCTGTAATGACAGCTGTTGTTGGTCTGCCTGCACCAGGCAGGAGATGATCTGCACTCGTTTCCTGGGAGTACAAGTGTACTCTTCTAGTTTGTCGGGTGGCCATGCAGCCCTTTGACCCACTGGCTGGACAACACTTTTGATGATCAAAGCCAAGCAAATGGGCTCTGGTTGCATGCCAGTATTGCCTGGACTGCTGGGATTGAGGACCATGACAGGGTTACGCTTCTGACTCTATAACTTACTACTTCATTTACACTTTTGTGCTAGTACACTGACACTCCTTGATGTGCCTTTTATTGTTGGATATACATGTATATTCTTAGAGTACAGTGTTGGTATGATGGGTAAGGTTTCATGTTAGCTGGCTTAGGCCAGGATTCTCAGTGGTTTGTCAGTTATGTGATGATGTAATTTGTCAGTTATGTAATGATGTAGTCATCCTCCATGATGTGATCTGATTTGATCAGCCAATCAGTTGCGAGGGGAGTTTACTCAGGAGTGTGGCCTGCATCCAATATATACATATGGATGTTCTGGCAAAGCTTGCTCACTTGCTCTGGATTCTGCATCTGGCTTGTCATCATCTGATCTGCAGTTCTTGGGACTTGAGCCAAGGCCTGCCATATTGCCCGCTGATCTTGGGATCTGTCAACCTCTGCAGCCTGTGAGGCAGCAGCCTGCCATCTTACCTGCCGATCTTGGGTTCGTCAGCCCATGCAGCTATGTGAATCGGAGGTCTCCAGCCTGACACCTGATCCACGGACTAGGGACTTGCCAGGCTCTACAACCATGTGAACCATTTCCTTGAGATAAATCTCTCTCTCTCTCTCTGTGTATATGCTTCACTGGTTTTGCATCTCTAGAGAACCAGCCTAAGACATTTAGCACCAAGAGTGATTCTAGAGAAAAAAAACTGTAAGGGTGAGTTTTCTAAATTGGTTCTCAAGTCTGGTTAGTCTTAAAGGCACTGATGATTTTGCCTCCAGTAGTAAAGAGGGCACTGCTAATCCATGGTGTGATGTGGCAATATTAATACACAAAATATCACCACCAGTAGATCAAGTATTAGTGAGAAGTGAGGCTCTGGGTGATCACATGTTTGATACTTTTCTACAATTGTCAGAATGAGAAGTATAAGGAAGCTGGTTGTTTGGTCCTATTTTTGGTAGACAAAGTATGAAAGAAAGAGATGACCTCAGGGCTTCATAGTCACAGCTCAAGCACTGTAAAAAAGACCTCAAAGTTGCCACTTCTGCCCTGAAAGAAAGCCTCATTTCTTGTAGTAACAGAGATGACATTGCCAAAAAGCAAACCCAGAGTCTTATAATAAGAATGGCTGAATTACACCACCAGCTGAGTTCCCAACGTTGAATGGTGTCTGAAGTTAAAGTGAGGGCATTGATTGGGAAGAAATGGGATCCTGAAACTTGGGATGGGGACATATGGGCAGATAATCAAGAAGCTGAGGACATTGAACCCCTAAATGCCATTGAATCACTCCTGGCAGTAGAACCTGCACTCTTAATCCCATCTGAAGAGATTACTCCATCTTTGTCTGCTAAGCCACCCTCCTCGGTAGAACCATTATCTTCTCCACACTCATCTGAAGAGATAAACCCAGCTGTATCTGAAGAGCCTTTGTCTGAGTCATCACCTGGGGCAGCATCTGAGTCATTGCCTTGGGCATCGCCTAGGGTAGATGCCTTACAAGACATTGCTGAATGTTCCCAGAACCCACTGCCACTACCCATTCTTGCTTCTAGATCTATAACTAGACCTAAGTCCCAAACAAATAAAAAAAACACAAATAAACCAAATCCGTTACCGCTGAGTTGAGTCCAGTGGTGTGGAGCATTTTGAGATATTCCTTCCAAAGTGAAGGATAAGTTGTTACATCTGGCCCCTTCTACAACTAAAAAGGAGTCACAACACCTTGTGAGCCTCTTTGGATTTTGAAGGCAACTTATACCTCATTTAGGTGTGCTACTCCGGCCTATTTATCAAGTGACTCAAAAAGATGCTAGTTTTGAGCAGGGCCCAGACCATCAGAAGGCTCTGCAACAGGTTCAAGCTGCCATGCAAGTGGCTCTGCCACTTGGGCCATATGATCCAGCTGATCCAATGATACTTAAAGTGTCAGTGGCAGATAGAGTCTTTGGTAGGCCTCCATTGGTGAATCACAGTGCAGACCCTTAGGATTTTGGAGTAGTTATCCTCTGTAGGTAACTACTCTCCTTTTGAGAAACAGCTTTTGGCTTGTTACTGGGCCTTAATAGACTGAATGCTTAACCATGGGCCACAAAGTCACCATGCAGCCTGAGTTTCCCATCATGAACTGGGTGTTGTCTGACCCATAAAGCCATAAAATTGGATGTTCTCAGTAGCACTCCATCATTAAATGGAAGTGGTATATATGAGACAGGGCCTGTGCAGGACCTGAAGCACAAATAAGTTGCTTGAGGAAATGGCTCAAATATCCATGGTCTCCACTCCTGTCACATTACCTGCCCTCTCCCTGTCTGCACCTACAGCCTCATGCAGAGTTCCTTATGATCAGTTAACTGAGGAAGAGAAAACTTGTACCTAATTTACAGATGGTTTTGTGCAATAGTGCAGGCACCACTCAAAAGTGGACAGCGGCAGCACTACAACCCCTTTCTGGGACCTCCCTGAAGGACAATGGTGAAGGGAAATCTTCCCAATGAGCTGAACTTCAAACAGTACACCTGGTTATTCACTTTGCTTGGAAGGAGAAATGGCCGAATATGTGATTATATACTAATTCATGGGCTGTGGCCAATGGTTTGGCTGGATGGTTGGGGACTTAGAAGGAACATGACTGGAAAACTGGAGACAAGGTATGGGGAAGAGGTATGTGGTTAGACCTCTCTGAATGGGCCAAAGAAGTGAAGACATTTGTGTTTCATGTGAATGCTCACCAAAGGGTGACCTTGGCAGAGGAGGATTTTAACAATCAAGTGGATAGGATGATGCATTCTATGGAAACCAGTCATCCTCTTTCCCCAGCCACTCCTGTCATTGCCTAGTGGGCTCATGAACAAAGTGGCCATGGTGGCAAGGATGGAGGTTATCATGGGCTCAACAACATGGACTTCCAATCACCAAGGCCGACTTGTCTACAGCCACTGCTGAATGCCCAGTCTGCCGGCAGGAGAGACTAACACTGAGTCCCCAGTATGGCACCATTCCTCAAGAGGATCAGGCAGCAACCTGGTGGCAGGTCAATTACATTGGACTGCTTCCATCATGGAAAGGGCAGCATTTCATTCTTACTGGGATAGACACTTCCTCTGGATATGGATTTGCCATCCCTGCACACAATGCTTCTGCCAAAACTACCATCCATGGACTCTCAGAATGCCTTATCCACCGTCATGGTATCCCAAACAGCATTGCCTCAGATCAAAGGACTCACTTCACGGCAAATAAAGTGCAGTAATGCGCTCATGCTCATAGAATTTACTGATCTTACCATGCTCCCTATCATCCTGAAGCAACTGGCTTGATAGAATGATGAAATGGCCTCCTAAAGACACAATTATGGTGCCAGCTAGGTGGCAATACTTTGTAGGCTTGGGGCAGTGTTCTCCAGGAGGCTGTATATCCTCTAAACCGGCATCCAACATATGGTGCTCTATCTCACATAGCCAGGATTCATGGTTCCAGGAAGTAAAGGGGTGGAAATGGGCGTGGCACCACTCACTATTACCCCAAGTGACCCAGTTGCAAAATTCTTGCTCCTATCTCCACAACCCTATGCTCTGTGGATATAAAGGTCTTAGTTCCAAAGGGACTAAGGTTATGTAATGCTCCCACCCTGGAGACACAACACAGATTCCACCGAACTGGAAGTTAAGAATACCACCCAGCCACTTTGTTCTCCTCGTGGCTCTTGATCAACAGGCAAAAAAGGGAGTTACCATATTGGTTGGTGTGACTGATCCTAACTACCAAGGGGAAATTGGATTGGTGCTGCATAACTGAGGTAAAGAAGAGTATGTCTGGAATACAGGAGATCCCTTAGGGTGGCTCTACTACCATGCCATGTGATTAAAGTCAATGGAAAACTAAAGCAGCCCAATTCTGACATGACTACTAATAGCCCAGGCCCTTCCGGAATGAAGGTTAGGGTCACCCCACCAGGCGAAGAACCATGACCCAATGAGGTGCTTGCTTAGGGCAAAGGCAATATAGAATGAGTGGTGGAAGAAGGTAGTTCTAAATACCAGTCACAACCACGGGGCCAGTTGCAGAAATGAGGACTGTAATTTTTACGAGTATTTCTTCCTTGTATGGGGCCATCAAGTATTTTTGTTTTCTTATAAAATACAAGATGTAAACAGGGCTAGTGCATTTTTAGTTGTACACGTTAGTTGTATTATGTTAGGCTCAAGTATGACTTTGTAATTGTCTTTATTTAGAGATTGTGTATGATTTAAGGAGACGTGAACAGGTACCAAGTTGACAAGGAGTGGACTGTGATGGTTAAGGTTGTGTGTCAGCTTGGCTGGGCCACAATTCTCAGTGGTTTGGCAGTTATGTAATGATGTAGTCCCTTCCATGATATGATCTGATGTGATCAGCCATTTAGTTGTAAGAGGACTTTTCTCGGGGGTGTGCCCTGCATGCAATATATATATGGACGTTCTGGCAAAACATGCTTACTTGCTGTGGATCCTGCATCCAGCTCATCATCATCTGATTTCCAGTTCTCAGGGCTTGGGTCAGCGGTCTGCCATGTTGCCCACCAATCTTGGGATTCATCAGCCTTCAAAGCCTGTGAGCTAGCAGCTACTGTCTTATTGCCAATCTCATATTTGTCGGCCTCCACAGTCCGTGAGCCAACGGCCTGCCATCTGACCTGCTGATCTTGGGTTCATTAGCCCCTGCAACTATGTGAGTCAGGAAAAGCCTCCAGCCTGAGGTCTGACCCAGGGACTTGGGACTTGCCAGCCTCTAAAACTGTGTAAACTGGTACCTTGAGATAAATCTCTATATATATGTGCTTCACTGGTTTTGCTTCTCTAGAGAACCCAGCCTAAGATGGTAGGGAAAGACCCTATACTTTCACTCTGGGTGAACAGACTGGATAGATGTTCTCTAGAAGGTCCTGCCTTATAGGAACGTAGCTTCTACAGAGAGAAAATGTTCCCTCAAGCCCACTTTCATCCTAGTTGGTTGTAGAGAACTCAAGCTAAGAAAGTTGGGAACACACTAGATAATGAAGTGCTTGATTTTAATAGGGAAGGATTTTATGAACTGTAGATAGAAGTAAGGTCTTCAATAAATAAACCTATTTTCTCAGCCTAACTTATTTTTGTCTCATATGATCTAACACTATTACAATTTTTCTTTTGTTTCTTAGACCATCTTCAAGAAAGCAATGGATGTTTGAGTTCAGAGACCAAAGGCGTTGGTAACCTAGGTAACCTGCAGGAAGCAGCACAGAGACTGCAGAGTCCTTCTGGAGAAGATGGTGACCGTGACAATTCAAGACAACATGTTCCTTCTGGACAGTCTCCAGACACAAAATCTCTAGCTACCTCTGAAACTGGTCACTCTAGGGGTTACTCTGAAGTTTCAAGTAATGTAAGCCTTGATCCTACAGGAGAATGGGGGTTCCAAAAAGGACAAGAGGCACCTGCTAAAGCAGCTACATGTTTTTCCGAGAAGCTGACTTCTAGCAACCAGCTAATGGACAGAACTAAAGAAGTGAGCCATCCACAGTTGGACAGTTCAGACCCGGCTGACCAGGACTGGGAAATGGTGTCCAGGCATTCATCTTGGGGAGATGCTGGTTTGGGTGGTAGCCTTGAGGCTCTAGTGGTAAGCCCAAGCCAGGGAATGGACTATGGCAGAAGTGTTCTTGTGGAATCAAGAGGTCAGGAAGTAGATGTAAAAACAAAAAAGGTAGTGGCAATGTTTCCAGAGCCTCGGCAAGTCAATGTCAGGTTCCAGGTCCACTATATCACAAGCACTGGTAAGCAATTCATTGCAGTAACTGGAGACCATGAGAGTCTTGGGAGATGGAACACTTACATCCCACTCCAGTATAGCAAGGATGGGTTCTGGTCTCGTTCTATTTCCCTGCCAGTCAATACAGTGGTGCAGTGGAAGTTTGTAGTGGTAGAGAATGGGGAGGTTACCCGCTGGGAAGAATGCAGCAACAGATTCCTAGAGACTGGCCATGAGGATAAAGTGGTTCAAGAGTGTTGGGGGATTCACTGATTCGGGCTGCAAGGTACTGGAGAATCTGTTGCAGAATGGGAAAGAGGCTAAGGTTGTGGAGCACACTGAATAATTTAAAATAAAGGAAGTGTGACTCCAAATTTAGTCATTAGAGTTGTTTCAAATTTGCTAGTGGCTTTTGTTTAATGTGCAGAAACATACGTAGATGATGCTTCCAGTGAACATGGACTTTTCTTCCTGTGGTATTGACGAGTTTGTGCGGATCCATCATTACTTTAGGGCTTGGTCCTCTTGGCAAGAGTGACTTGGCTAAGCTTCATGGAGCACAGAAACTAACCAATCACCCAGGTCTCAAGCCTGAGCCTCTGGGTAAGCCTTAAATCAAGGGAGTAAAACATGCGTCATCCAAAGATCATCATATTTCCTATTGGTACAGCTGGAGAAGCACTCTTTACTACATGCACATTTTATATTTAAAAATAGTTAACATTGTATGGGACTGTGATCAGAAAATACCTGGTCCCCAGATGTGATTAGCAAGGATATGAGGTAATGCTTTAAGACTCCCCAATTTTCTTTTGTGCTAGACTTTACCGCCAGGTGTGGTTTTGAAGGCAGCAAATATGTCTTTGTCTTAATGCTCTAAGACTGGTGTAGAAAAAAGGGGCCTAATCAGAGTTAGTTATCAGGAGCACTCTATGAGAAAAGAGAACATGAATGGGGTTAGGAGGTGGGCTGAGCGAGGTGGCCTGAAGATACCACTTAGAGGACTGGGAGGTACAGTTACAGCCTAGACTCCAGGGAGGGACCCTCATCATTTATACATGGGGCCTTTGTAGGACCGACTCTCCCCCCCGCCTGTCCCCTCACACCATATCTGGACTGATGATCAGATGAACTGTCCTATAGCAGTTGTTTCCATCCTTCACCCTCTTCCCTTTCCTCTCATACTAACAGCCATCTTGGATAACGAATTTATACAGGGCAGTAATACAGAAGTACATCTATGCTCTGAGAAGAAATAAACATTCAAACTTTAAGTTATTCTAACTGAGCAAATAATAAAACCTCAATGTCTGAATTATTTGCCTAACTCTTAGTACCATAACCGCTTGGATGCAAAATAAAATACTAATATCTTCCTGCACTAATAACAGACACTAAGAGAAAAGCAAACATCAAGAGGCATACAAGATATATGAAGAGTCTGTTTTTCTCCTTCCTTTGGAGAAAAAAGCTTAGAATATGTATTTTTAAAAATTTACCTTTGCTTGGAGAGAAATTCAGCATGCCTGTATTTGAAAATGAATTTTTAAAATTCTGCTTTAGATGAAAGTTTACAAACTTTCTCATTAAACAATACACGTTGTTTTGGGACATTGGTTCCAGCCAACCTCACGTCAACACTTTCCCTTTGTTGACCTTGGTTCCCTGTTACCAGCTTTCCTGTCCCCTCCTGCCTTCCCGTCCTTGCCCCTGGGTTTGTGTGCCCATTTGGTCTCGTTTTATTTTGTGGGCCTATCTAATCTTTGGCTGAAGGGCAAACCTCAGGAGTATGACTTCAGTATTAAAAGGGTGTCTGGGGGCCATACTCTCAGGGTTTCTCCAGTCTCTGTCAGGCCAGTAAGTCTGGT